CCTACCCACACTTCATGTGAACTCAGATATTAGTTCTTACTCCTACTCTTAAGGTTCCTGGTCTTTTCCCAAGGGGAGCGGGTGCTCACTTAAGGACAGAATGTCCTCACCCACCATGGAATCTTGGTGTCATGGTCTCTTCCAAATCTTAACCCTCCTCTTCATCCTGTCTTGTATATGAACATCCAGTTTGTAGGAAAGTATAACACAGCACTGGCCATGTCTAAGTCATTCAGTAAGTTTCCTTGCTGCCAGTGAAGAAACCTTTGTTCTTGGACCCAGAAGAACTCGGTTTGAGACAATGTCTTTTAGCAAATTACTTAATCTCTCTAAATCTCCACTTCTTCACCTATTAAAACGAAGATAAAAGTTCCTATCTCTCGGTGTTGCTGTGAGACTTGCATAACACATGTGGAGGGAAAAAGTGCCCTCAAACACCATAAGGGTATTGTTATTTGTCCTTCTAGGATCCGCTGAAATCCTGCCTCCCTGAGTAGCCTTCCCTGACCTTGTTTGCTCACACACACCAGCTCATTTCTTAACCACCTATAATGTTCATTGCCTATACTTATTTCTATGGTTAATAGAAAGATTTCAAGTTATTGGCTTACTAACTAGATGCATTCTCCTTGAGAACAAGGAATGTATGCCTTATCTACTCTACAGTTCCACTAGGTCTAGCACAGAGCTCAGGACACACTTCTGGGTCTGCACGAGGACACTGTTACCCAGGGCAAGGTTTGTTGTGTGTTCCATGTATAAAATATTGTGTAGGACCACCCTGTGGTCACAGGAGGGCCACTAAAAAAAGACAAGAGCAGGAACTTTGTAGAAAGAACAACTTGGTATAAGAAATAAATTTCTGAATCTTTTCTGACAATTTGGAAAAGAGGATTCCAGCTGGCAGGGGTCTGTGGCATATATATATATATACACACATACTTTTTTTTTTTTTTTTCAAGAAACTGGAGAATTCTAACATGCCATATCTAGAATTGTCATTTCAAAAATCTGGTCTATTGCAGTTAATTCTAGAACCCATCTAGAGAGAGAAAATAAAGTGCAAGTATTTTAAGAAAATGAAGCCTCATTGACCTAAGAAGTTTCAGCAACATGACGCAAAGAGCTGGTCTTGATCAACATGACTGCAAATACACCCCTAGCCCTGAGACAGCATCGATTTGGCGATAAAGAATGGGTATTATGGCCAAAGTCTGAATGTGACTAATCCTCGGATTAGCCAGATAATGGGATCATTATTATCAGTCACAACAGTTTTCATTTATGGAGTGCTTTCTAGTACAGGCATACCTCAGAGATATTGTGGGTTCAGTTCCAGAGCATCGCAATAAAGTGAGGCGTAATCTTTTTGCCGGTGGAGGGTCTTACCTTCCTTTTGTAAAAAATGCAACATCTATGAAGCTCAGTAAAGCTAAGCTCAGTAAAGTGAGCTATGCCTGTACTTCCAGCCCATCTACACTCATCTCATTTGATTCTGACAAATAAGACATGAGATCTGTCTCATCTTACAGCTGAGGCTACCAGGGCACAAAGAATGCATTTTCTTGTCCAAAATCAAATAGCTAGATAGTCTTGTGGCCAATACATTAAAACATCAGACCTAGCTTCTAGTTTCCTGTTCTATTTAAGAGACCTAACCTGGGATGAGTGGTATAAGGAAGTGGGCTGTACGTGCATCAGTGGGCTTAGGGAGGTCTTACCTTCACACTTGGCATTACTTATAGCTGTTCTTCAGTGTTGGTAATTAAATCATGACAGCGTTCCACATTTTTGTCTGATCTTCCAAGAGTCAACATTAGATATCTCTGGACTGTGTCAAGTTTAACTAGATAATCTAGTTAAAGTCCTGTTAGTCCTTAGAGTGCAACCGTAAAAACGAGGTAGCTAAAAGGGAGCTCATGACATTTAAACCAAGAGGTTGTGTGAGATTCTCAGTCTTTTTCTAAATGTTAAGATGTTGCTGTTTTTTTATTTCTTGCTAGAACCACAATCTCTTATCATTAAGCACTGACCTAGGAGGAGATGGTTTCTAGCCCCAACTCTGCTACTAATTAGCTGGATTGCCCTTGGTAAACCACTTAACTGGGTTGGGGCTCAGTTTCTGTGAAATGGGGACAGCAGCAATGCCTGCCTTGCTCCTCTCACATGTAGTTTGTGAGGATGGAATTAAATAGGGAGCATCCACATTTCTCAGGACTTCTAAGTGTCTGCTCAATAACTGTAAAATCTCCAAGAGCTTATACAGGCATTTGCTTTGTGTTCTTGGGCAAATTACTACTATGTCTGAGCCTCAGATTCCACATCTGTAAATTATGTCGACAATATCCACCATATTGTGTTCTTAGCAGAATTATAATGAGGTAATAACATGGAGGGTTCTTGGTACAGTGCTAGGCACAAAAGTAGGTATCAATAAACATTTGTGTGGTCCAGGGAACATGGTAGGACCCAAATGTCAAACAGCGTTCCCAGACAGAGTACCGGCTGCAGACTGCCTTTTCCCCTACTGGTTCTCTCTGTCTTGTCTGCTCTTCCACTCTAAGGAAAGGGCAATACAGCAAAGGGAAGCTCTGTGCATGTTGGTGTTAATGTCATAGCCTGTATCGGGGACTTCTACCTCAGCATGGCTTCTCTAGATGCCCCTCATGACTGATCATGTGTTGATGCTTTTGTCAGGGAATGAAAAGGTTGGTGCTGGAGAATGGAATCCAACATCTTAAAGATGCTGGCCCTCCTTTACCTGGCTCCCATGACACACAGGCATGATGGGTAAAGTTTTAGTGTCTTATCTGCTTCGTACCCTTCTTTCCTGTGCCAAGATGCCTGCAAACCTTGAATAACTGCATTCACTCCATGATCAGAGGTCAGGATTAAGATGAAAATGGGAGGGACGGAGATACAAAGTATCACTAAAGGTCTAGTGCAAAAGCAACATGATCCTGAGGGCAGGCCTGAGAGGGTAGGGATGGCTGAGGTGCAGGCAAAGGGTTCTAGGAATTGGAAGTCAGGGACAGAGGAGGGAACAGGGATTAGTTAAAGGAAACAGAACAAAAAGATAGGACAAGAAAAGTAATTTCACCCATTTCATAATTTTTCTGAAGGTTCTTCTTGACCATCAACAGCTATTGGACATTTTTCCTGCAGTCTGAGTGTATGGTGCTCAGTCCATCCAGGGAGCTAGATGTTCTTTTTTTTTTTTTTTTTTTAATGAAGCATGTCATAAAGTCAAAACAGTGTCTCTGCCCCAAATCTTGAAGGATTTGAGGGGCATGTCAGCATTCCATGAATCCCAAAATATTGATTATCTGTCCAATTAATAGGCTACAAAGCCAAATAAAAGGAGCAGCAGCCCTGGTTCGTAAATCTCAGAAGGGAGAACCAAGACCGTGAGCTGGAGCTGGTTGGATGAGGCCTTAAGAGCCATGAACTGCACTGGACACTTTAAAAAAATGAAACTTCTTTACTAACCATGCAATATAAGTTATTTATATAAAAATAAAATACAGATAAGCATGAAGAAAAACACACATAACATCACCACCCTGAAACTGATAACATTTTTATGTATAGAGAGACAGGACAGTTACCCATGGTTAAGAGCCTGGGCCTGGGGCTGGGCCACCTGCCTGGTGCAAAGTCCCACTTCATTTATCTGCTGAAAGGCTGCAGGTAAATTAGCCTCTATGGACCCATTTCCTCATCTGTAAATTAGGGATAATAATAATAACTGTCTCCAAGGGTAGTTGTAAGAATTAAAGAAGCTACATAGTAGTGCTTTAAATAGTACCTGGAATATATTAAGCACTATATATGTGATAGCTGTAAGAATAATAATTATTATATTTCTAGGCTTTTTCCTCTATAAAATATAAGAACAACTATATATAATATATTTCTATGAAAATCAGGCTGTTCTATACTCTTTTGTAATGTTTTTCATGTTCATTTGTTCATGGACAGATTTGTTATTAATATCAGCTAATATTGATTGAGTCCAGTTGGGATAGACTTGTGCTAAAAATTTTACATAAATTATCATATTCAATACTCACAATAACTCTGTGGCATGTAAGTACTCTTATTACCATTTTTCAGGTGAGAAAACTGAGGCTAAACAGTTTAAATAATTTGAATGTAACAGAGCTAGCAAGTGAAAGAATTTCAATACAGAGAGTGTGGCTTTTGAACTTGCCCATGTCAGAATGTAACACAGGCTTTGTAAGAAGATCCAAGATTTTGTTAAGACTTCCTGAAAGAGGCAAGTTTGGGTATATGTCATCTTCCTTCTGTCTTGCAAAGCAGAGAGAAATGAGCATGAGACGGGCTAGGAGCCTATCTTTCTAATCCTGATAGGATTAGAAAGAAAATGTGCGTGTGCTCACTCCTTTGTAACCCTTGGCAGGTGTGCACTTGGGGACACCAGAGTGATGGATGTCTGGCTGACAGTTCTTGGGCTCTAATGGTATTTCGATTTGCACCATGGAAATCACTCTGATACTGAATGGGAGCTAAGGTCTAGTACTGTACTTAATTTCTCTAAGAGCGTTTTATCTAGAAAGAATCTTGAAGCCGTCTTTCATCTTCTTTTCCAGAGCCTTTGACACAGCCACTTGGGTCCCTGACCTCAGTCACTCACATGTCCCTCCCATTACTGCACATTCACCTCAGTCCCCAGATAACCCAGGACCACGTCCAAGCTAGCGGATGAATTTAATTGGCAAGCCTTTGCTCAAACCATGTGAAGCCCTGTCCTGGACACTGTGGGCATACAGGAGAAAGGGCAGTTGAGAAGATAGACACACACACAACTGACAATATAAAGCAGGCTCTGTGTGGCTAGACAACCAGAGTGAGCCCGGATGGGTGCGTGAGAGAGTTTGGCTGTACCATGGGTTGGGAGGCCCTGGGGATGTCTTGATCAGGGATGCGATAGGATGACAGCGACGTTTTAGGCACTAAACTTTTCTCTCTCAATTTAGGAGTAGCTCAGAGAGGAGGAAGGAGAAGTCCCGGGATGCAGCGAGGTGCCGGCGAAGCAAGGAGACGGAGGTCTTCTACGAGCTGGCCCATGAGCTGCCCCTGCCTCACAGCGTGAGCTCCCACCTGGATAAGGCCTCCATCATGCGGCTGGCTATCAGCTTCCTGCGAACACACAAGCTCCTGTCCTCAGGTGAGGCTGGTGGACTCCCCCGGCTGGTGCTGATAGCCCCCTTACCAATGCGTCCCCACACACAGGAGGCTCTGTTGTGCCATAGTTAGAAGGCTACTGGAAAGGTCTCCCCACCCAGGAACTCTCACTCTGCAAAACTTCCACCCGCAGAAACTGTCACTGGTGCTTTATTCCTTCATGTTACACACCTTTACAGCAGTGACCTTTATGATGAATACAGCCAAGGGCAAGGACAGGACCAAGGAAGCATCTGGGCACCTAGCGGCTGAGGAGAGAAGGAGCTGGGCGAACGGAGCAGCTTTGCTAGCCTCCCCGTTGCCACTCCACCTGGTCGTAAGACCCGCACTCCACCCCAGATTGAATCCTTAGGAAGTGTTCTAGTGCTTATCTTTCAGCTACCTCTCCAAAAGGGCAGAGGCGTGCCCATACAGTCTTTTCCCTCTTACTAGCCAGTTTGCCAGGCACATAATTTGATGTCTCAGCTCTTGGTTTCCTTATCTGTAAAAAGGGATTAAAAATACTTATTGCACAGGGTGTCTGTGAAAATTAACCACGATCATGTCTTAAAGCACCTGACCCACCATACTCATTCACACCGGGGAGTATCTGATGGATAACAACCTCCTCACAGGACCAACTCATTCTCACCCCCCCTGGTATCTCCACAAGTGTCAAGTTCACAAAACTTTTTTTTTTTTTTTTTAGAGTTTACATTCTTCCAGAAACCATTTCCTGTTAGCCCTGACCAGAAAGAGGTAGCCTGAGTTTTCCAGTTTCAGATCCTATGGCTCGTTTTGTCTGTCAGTTTCATAAGGAAATTGGTCGGCAGATAGTGTCCCTCCCCCACTGGTCAGGGTGCCACAGGTGGGCAGCATCTGAGGTAGTGAGCTTGAGGAAGGCAGGCAGGAGGGGCAGGTTCTTTTCTGGATGGTTTCCAGTTTTCCCGAGTGAACTCGGTACCTTCAAGCCGGGTGGATCCTGCCATCCTGTTATGAAGTGGCTATTCTGGGAAAGAAACCCTGAGCAGAGGGGATCCAGTGTGAGGCCGGGAGGCCAGACCGGCATGTGCTATTCTGGGCCCTGGAGCACAGGAAGGATATGGGGGAAAGACTTTCAGAAAATAAGATGACAGCTCAGTGGGTCCAAGGGTTGGAGGCTTAACCCTGTATTGCAAGTCTAAAGAGTCTTAGAAAAGAGCAGACAGGAGGGGGAGAACCAAAGGCAAAGACATGCTCTATAAATACTTTCAAAGGAACAATGCAGTCAGTGGCAGATTCGTCATCATACGTGCTACAGAGAGAGAGAACAATGGGCTGAAGTGTAAGAAAGACCTGGAGACACCATCTCAGGGCACATGTGTACTTCTTTCTTTTAAAGGGCTCGTCTTCCTGGACAGGCGAGGGCAGTGTCTGGTAGTGTTGGAATCACCTTTATTTATACACAGAGTAGGCAGTGCGGGATTTAATGACTAAATGAAGACCCCTCCCCTACACCCAGAAACATCTCCTCTACTTCCCTGTTATAGTATTGAAATTTTATTCTTAGACGTTGATTTCTTTGGGTTAATCATTGCTTCCTTCTACCACCACCCCCATCCCTCCACCAACAGAGAGCCCTGGAAGGGGTAATACCTCAATCCTGGGATACCTCTCTGATTGAATTTGGACTTGCAGAACATTTCATAGATGATGGATGAGAAGTGAGGCACAGAAAAGTTAAAGTTGTCCGAAGTCACATATGTAGCACATGGGGAATCTGCACCAGGAGTTCAAGTCCTTTGAATCTTTGTCCATGGGAAAGACAGACCCAAGAAGCAGGAGCGTCTGCAAACCTGGTCAGGCGAAGATGCTGCTAAGGGCTGGTCGTGTGAGGAAGGCGGCAGGGTAACCAAAGTTAAACAGATCACCTAGGGGCTGGCCTCAAGCAGTGGGAAAGGGAGAAGGTCCTCCCACAATCAGTGAGATGTTTCTATCCTTTCTCTCGATGCAAGGTCTTGTTTCCCATGCTCTCCAACACATAAGCCCGGTCTTCCCTCTCAGTGGTTCAGAGGTTGGCTTTGAGAGGACCATGAATCAGAGGCCGGGCCTCTGAGCACGTCTGCTTGCATGTGTGCTGACGTGAACCCTCTGTGCGCCAGATACACCCAGAGAGATAGGATTAGAGTGGCCACAGACATCACACATCCCCACTCAGGAGCTGTTGCAAATTGTGGACACTAACTGCCTGCCCTCTGGCTAAACTCAGCCTCAGACCAACCAGAGTCCTCAGCATGTCAGCTCTGGTCCTCTCTGTTTCAAGGAAAGAAATGACAGAAAAGGATAAAAAGTGTCTACATTTCACATGTGGTCATGGTGTCCTTGAAGGAGCAGTTCTCATAAAAGAAGCATCGCCTGGGGGGAGGAGGAGCCAGAAGGCTTTCAGCACCCTCTTTTCCTACACTCCCTTCCAGGCTCCCTCCACGCATCCTCTCAACCAACTGTCGAAACCGTCTTCAGGAATTAAATGGGAGACAGGACTCTTTTCTTTTCTAACTATATTTTGCTTTTTCAACGCATACGACTCAATTAAAAAGAATACACAAGTTGTGGGCAAATAGACCTTGTGTTGGAACCTCAGTCTGGCTGCCTTTCTTCACGGCAACCTCGTGAAAATCTCTTCTGTCTTTGAGCTTGATTTTCCTCATCTGCACAAAGGAGCTGACAGTACTTACCCTGGGATGCTATTTGAGGACTGAAATAACAGAAGTAAAAGCCTTTATCATCTTGCCTGCCACATATTAGGCTCTCGATAAGTTATAACTGAGAAATCAAAATTATTATGAACACATAGAGTAAATTCATCTATAAGTATATATAAATAATATATATAATAAGCATACAATTCTCTTACCCACCTTTCAGCAATTTCTATCAAAATGCAGTTGCCAAGCTTTTCCAAGTCAAAACAGGCTCGTTACTGAAACATTTCTAACAAAGGTGAGCACTGATGTTGGCTCATTTTATAATAGGAAATAGCTGGTTGCATACCTCAGAGTTCAAAAGGCTAAAAAAGACCAGGTTTTGCTTTAGAAAAGTTTCTTCTTTACTTAGTAACACGTTTCCCTTTGATTTTCACAGTAGGCTGTTCTGTGTGGGAATGTTGGAGAGGAAACCTCAACGCTAAGAAATTCAGGCTAGGAGTCTAGGCTGCCGATTGAGATTCGTATCACAGGAAGCAAACTGAAACAATAGCTTTATGATATTAGCTTCCACGCTGGGCCGAGAACAGAACACACTCTGACGGGAACATTGGTGGAAATACCACTCGATTGTCTTAAATCCTCTTTCAAGATGAGCCCCACAAACCGTGACCAAATGAGGGTCACTCCTGCATTCGAAGGGCATTCAACAGCAGTGAATATGCAAAATTGGCTTTTCACCATAAAATGGATTTTTGACTTTTCTACACTCATACATGGTAAAAATCAAATTAATTTCACATAGGAGCCGCAGGTTAACGTGAAGCCAGCTTTCTAAGAGAAACGTCAGGTTTATTATTGAGTCATTGGATTTGCTTAGTGAAGACATCAGTCTTAATAAGAGATTATGATTTCCCGATCTCTGGACTACTAAGAGAAAGATATTAAAATATGGGACAAATGATTTTAAAGTTTTTACTGTGACTTTTTCATGCAGGAAAAGTGGAACCAAAGTAGAGAAATTGTGGAAGCAGATATGGCTTCTGGTGCCTTATGTACCACTTTCAGACTTGCCTAGGTTTTCATCCCTTGCCTCACCCACCCTCCAAACCAAGGTCTTTTTCTGTCCTTTTTGGAGAAGCGCTGATAAACTAATTCATGCTAGCATGTTAATGGCTAAGAGCAGCTAATAATCTCATGTAGAGATCCTGGCCTTTTTCAGATCATTCCCTTAACTTAAACCAAAGAAAGATCTAGTCGATCAGTAGATATTTACTAACCTTAGCCCTGTGCTACAGCTTATGAAGGTTAATACAGAGAGGTAAGACAGGATAGTAAGTTATGTAAAGAACAAAAGAATGAATCTCTGATAGTGGACTTTCGAGGCCCTTTGGATGCCAGCAACATCAGGTAAACTCAGCGCCTTCTGCTAAAGATGTGAGGGTAGCCCAAGTGGAGTTTAAAGGTATGGCTAATAATCCAGTAAGTGATCGAAAAGTAATTTCCTCGTGGCTTGACTGGCACTGCTCTTGTAATCAGTACACCCAGGAATGGGGGCAGGGGGTGTCCATGGCTCCGGGATCACTGGAGGGGAGGAATCCATTTAAAAGGAAAGCCCCTGCGATGATAAGTAAGTGACGACTGTCTGCAGAGCACATCTGAACTAGGAAGATCACAGCAGAATGGTTTTAAGAACAGTCAAAGCAGTCCTGGAACCTCTCAGATTAAAGAACAAGAGAAATGACCCTAGTGGACTAAAAATGCATCCTCACCAGCAGCAGCACCTTGTGACAGCCTGGTCTCAGGGACCCCGTCAAGAGTGCCCTGCCACCCTGCCCACTCATGCCAGATGCCCAGCTCCTGCTGCCCATGGAGTCCCACCCCACAGGGTGGTGCTGCCTGAAGGAAATGAGTAGTGCTCCGGAAAAAGTGCTCCGAAACCTCAGCCGGCGCATATCCTGACTGTGGGGAGTCATCAAAGCCTGTTTACAGGGGCTATTTTTAGCATTAAAGGATCCTGTGCTCCCCCGGCTGAGCAGGGCTGAGCAAGCTTCATCTCAGCAGAGTGCCTCTGATTCTAGTGACCTGCCCCTCTTGTTTCGGGTCAGACCCCAAAGGACCCTACGAAGCTGAGAATCCACAGCAATTTAAAGACTCCTTTTGGCAGCTTACTGAGCACCTACTGCGGGTTCCTCTTTGTTGGGCACCAAGAGTTTCTCTCCCTTATTGTATAAGCTTACGGCAGTTTGTCTTCACCAGCAGCAGAGTCCTGGAGGCAAAAGATTTTGCTCTTACACCTCTCGGTAACTGTGATTCTCCCTAGGACAGGACTGAGCACAGAGTAACATTTGTTCACAGATTTCTGATTTCCTGCTTTGTGCCTTGCACAGGGCAGACACATAGTAGGACCGCAATAACTGCATAGCTAATAAGTACATTTTTCAAGTGCCTAACACTGAGTGGGAGATGAACGATACGTTAGGGAAGACACAGTGTTCACGGGAAAGAGCAGGAAAAAAGGCAGAGCAGTCTTCAGCGAGGCGGGGTTAGGGGGTGATGCGCATGAGCCCCTGGCCCCTTGTGTGAAGGTCTGACTCCACCCCATGGTTTTCACCTTCGGTTCCAAGCTTACAGTGAGTTGGCCAGACTCCTTCAGAAGCCTCCAGGAGGATGAGCAGGTGCTGTGGGAGCAAATAGCTCCACAGAGGAAGGAGTCCTGGCTGCCCCAGGGTCCTTGGGAGCCGGCCCCGCCAGCTTCCTGATCCTCCAGCCATTGTGACTTTAGTTCCAAGATGTTCTGTTTCCATTTGTGCTCCCCCGCAAGCACCCCTCTTCCTCCCAGAGGCCAGCTGGCCAGCTGCTGCAGCCAATTTCGCCACCTCCTGGAAGCAAGTGTACTGGGCACGGATGGAAACAAGTTTAGCTGTGTCGGAACTGTTAAAAACAGGAAATTTTAAGCAGAACTATTTCCTCTGGGCCTAGTTAACCCAAATAAGGTTGTCTTGGGATTACTCCAGATTTTGAAGTCAGTGTTGCCACTGAGATCAAAGAAATTGGAGAGAAAAAATCTTCTTCGCAGGCCACAGATAACGGAGCTGGCCTCTGCCATCTGGAGGAGGTGGTCACCTATCTGGTGTGATTTAAATGGCACTGAAAACCTCTCCTCACCCATCCCCAGAAAAAGTCACCACCTGCCAAAATAGGCTGATTTTCCCATCATTGGGGTCATCCATAGGAACTTGAATGAGGGTGGTTATTTTAAACCTGTGGTCCGAGGGCCAGCAGCCTTGACATCACCTGGGAATTTGTTAGAAAAGCAGATTCTCAGCCCTCACTTTAGAGCTAACCAATCAGGACCTCTGCAGATGGGCCCATCTAGGGCCAGCTTGCTGGGTGTGTGGCTTGTGTAGTGCCACAGAGTTTCACAATTAGAAGCGCCCTGGGCCTGGTTTAATTTTTCAACAAGAGATCCCACATTTTTACTTTGCACTGAGCCCTGCAAATTATATAGCAGTCCTGGGCCCAGAAATCCTTGTCTTAGCAAGCCCACCAGGTGATTCTGGTGCATGCTGAAATTTGAAAGCACTGAGTTAAGTCATTGTCCCTCCTAAAGCCTCTGTTTAAATGCAGATGTTAAGTGAGAGCCCTAACATTGTCAGAGGCATCATCCCACCTGGATGTTGGTTCGTTATCATCCATTCAGCTGACTAGTACTTGGCAGACACCCTAAACAGGGATCGAGTGTGGGTATGGGTATGGGTGTGGTATATGGACATAAGGCTGGCCACCTGAACCAGGGTATGAAGAGGAAAGAATTTCCCTTCTTTTGTTACTTTTCTAGAGAGAATACCACCAGGATACTAGTCTGTACAGCTCAACTCTTGACTCTAAAAGCTGGCCTGTCCTTGTACAGGCTTGCTCTATTCCTCTGCAGAAATAGCATCATCTGTGATTCTGGCACATTCATTGATCCTATGTGCTCATCCTATGTCCACTGCTTGGGCATGTGGCAGACACTTAGGTGACTGGCAGTGTGCATTTCCAAAAAAGTCCACTTGATGCCTTTGTACCTTTCCTGGCAGACACCTGTCAATGCCAATTGCATCTGTTTAACACCGCATTCATGCAAGCCATCCAACCGTCCTGTCTTTCCAGTTTGCTCTGAAAATGAGTCTGAAGCCGAGGCTGACCAGCAGATGGATAACCTCTACCTGAAGGCCTTGGAGGGTTTCATTGCTGTGGTGACCCAAGATGGCGACATGATCTTTCTGTCAGAAAACATCAGCAAGTTCATGGGACTCACACAGGTGACATGCTTCTCTGGCTCTTTCAAAAAGGGAAACATTACCTTTTGGGGTAGAAATTAGTGGGGGACTCTGGTAACATCCCTCCTGACCTCTCCCGGCACATACCTACCCTGCCCCCTCTCCAATCTCAGGCCACAAGCCTCAGGAACACACAGCCCCTGGCATTCAGCTTGGCATTGCCGATGGTCATCCTGGTGGATAGCTCTGCTGACTAGATTAACAGGCCAACCCTTGTGAATCCAGTTTCTGTCACCAACGGCAGTCCTCAGTTACATCCATATGTCTGAGGACCTAAGACTAGATTGGGAATGTGAGAAGAACTGATTCTGTTTCCTCCCTAGTGCCAAATCTAGAAGTGGCTCAGCTGCTTCTTGGAATCTTCTACTTCCTTGTTAGGAATAATGAAGCCTAACCTTGTTTCTGAAACAGGTGGAACTAACAGGACACAGTATCTTTGACTTTACTCATCCCTGTGACCACGAGGAGATCCGTGAGAACCTGAGTCTCAAAAATGGTAAAGTAGTCTTTATTGTGTGTTTCCTTCCTTCTTGTGCCACCTGGTAGGGGATCTGTATTTCCTTTGCATACAAATGCAGGAGAGATGGATCATGAATATCATGATCCAGAAAAAACTGACATCCCTCAAAAAAAATCCAGCAGAGCCTAAGAGGTGAGATCAAGGGCACAGAGAGGACCTCATAAACATCTCCTCTGGCCCTGCTTGGTGTCCAACATCATGCTATTAAGGCACTCATTTAGGTTAGGACACTGTCTCCGGGAGGTTACATCACTTGAGAATTTGGCACCTTTGCCAAATGACACCACCCAAACCAATAAACTCATCTGTATCAAAGTGTTCATGAGAACTGTTGCATCTGTCTATTGCTGTGTAACAAACCACCCAAAATGTAAAGGTTTTAAGCAATCATTTTATTACCTCTCACAATGCTGCGGGTTCTGTGAGTGGTTCTTTTGCTTCATGTCATGTCAGCTGTGCTGCCATTATCTGGGGACAGAACCAGTGAGATGACCAAGGTGCTCACCCACATTCCTGGAACCTTGTGGCTAGAGTCTTGGGCTCAGCTAGGATGCTGGACAGTTGGACCTCTGCCTCACTCCATGGAGTCTGAGAGCCTCTCTCTCTTCCCTTCTTACATGGCAGCTCAGAGCTCCCAAAAATACAAAAGTGGAGGCTGCCAGCCCTTCCCAAGGCTTAGTGCTGAAACTGGCACAGCATCGCCCTGCCCTATTCTGTTGGCCAGCCCCCATTCAGTGTGGAGGGAACTACACACACTGTGATTTTCAGATGTGGCTCACTGGGGCCGCCTTTAGAGACTAGCTACCTCAAGAGCCAAGAACTAAATCTGGTCCCCTGGCAGAGACATAGGACAGGTCATTTTGGATGGAGAAGACATGTAAAAGGTCTAATGTAGTGTACCCTACCTGTGAGGGCATCCAGTAGATACTGGTGGATGGGAGGGTCCATAAAAGCTGAAAGCACTTTGTAATGATAGTGGAGTTGCTGCTTCACCTCATGTAACTGTGGACATTCAAGCATAGGGATGAATGGGGATATTGCCAAGAGGATTGAGGCTTTGGGCAGAACTGGGGCTCAGTAACTTTCAAGATCCCTTCTGAACCTGAGATTCGATCACTGTCCTGGGCAGATTCTGCCCATGCCTAAACATCCCCTTTAACATCTCTCACCTGTCACTGCCATGGGTATATGCGTGTCCAGCCTGAATAACAGGCAGTGGTACTAAGCCTGCAAGTTTTGGCTATTGTTACTATGCGTGCTGCAGAAGCAGACACTTTATTGGCCCACTTCCACCCTCATTACAGTCTGAGCATGCAGTCTGGGCCTGCAAAATACAGAATTACAACCACCCCTGCCTACACCCCCGCCACCCACTGACCTCTCAGGCAGCCCCTTTTCTCTCCTGAAGGCCTCAGGCCACCTAGCTCCTAGAGTACACAGTCTGGAGAGCACTACATGGGCTATTAAGTGTCTTAGCAGTGTTGCTGAGAAAGTCCTATCAGTTCCTTGAGGAAGGGGTGGCCAGACTTTCTGAATCCCTGTCTAAAGCAGGTGCTTGAAGCCTGAGAAAACCAAAGCCTCATATCTTCTACTCCAGAAACCCTTTGGTCCTTGGGTTCTCAGTCTTAGTTCAACCGCTGACCTTAGTCTCTGTCTGAACATGTGACCTGAAGCAAGTCACTTCATTGCTTTGATCCTTGGAGTCTTTCTTTTCAAACTGGCAGTATTGGACCAGGCAAAGTCTAGGACCTTCCGGCATTCAAGTGCCGTGATTCACAGCATGATACTACTTCATTTATCTGAGTAGAACTTCAGGTCCCTTGGTCCCTGTATTGAGGACTTGGAATCAAACTCAAAGAATCAGCAAGCAGATCCTTATTGAAGGTGCCGGCCTGAGTGGACTCATGATCTGGAAGCAAAGGATTAATACCAGTACCTAGAGGAAGATAAGGTCAGGAGGCAGATTGTGGAAGACTTTGAAAGCCAGGTGGAGGGCCTCGAACTTTATCCTGTGACAGAGGGGCGCTACGGAAGGTTCTTGAGCCAGAGGTGGAGTAATCTGATTGGAACCGTGTTTAGAGAGATTAATCAAATGGCAGAATGGCAAGAATCCAGAGGCTAACAAGTTAGGAGGCCACAGTAATAATAACCCAAGCCATAGCCACTCTCATCCCCAACACCTGAGCTGGTCCTGGTGGTAGGTCCAAGCCCCAAGATTACAAACCCAAGATATGCAAACCCCAGCTATGAAAATTAATATATGTGCTACCAAAGTGAGCACAGCCACCAGTGAAAATTTAAATTGTAGGAAACAAGTTTGAGAGGCATGGTTTTATGATCATGATGGAGGGATATTCTTTCTTAAAAAAAAAAATAAAGGGTTCACCATTTGGTTCATTACTTAGTGGGCTCTCCTAGGGATATTTAGGATAGATTCAAAGGTGACACAGTTCACTGGACACACAGATCTTTGGGCATATGTCAATCAAATCACAGCCCTCTGGAGTTTTAGGTGCGGATGCTGGTGCCATGCCTGGAGAGAGGAATGTTGTGAGCATTTGAAACAAGGCTCTGGATTGTTCTGTGTTGCTGGGCAGGGGGCAGGCATGTACCTTGCTTGGCAGGCCAGGATGGGGGTGGTGGGTTAGGCAGAATTTAGGCATGGACAAAGGGACTCTGTCAAATGACACTTGCTACATTTATCACTTCGTTTTGCCAAAAATGGAGAAAGTTCTGAATGGGCAGGCTATGTGGAGACTATAAGGAAGGAAGCTATATTATTTTTCTTGGTGATTTATTTAATTCTGACTGAGAAAGGATGTGTTCCATGTTGAGTTACTCCTTAGAGTGGACTGGCTCACCAAATCCCAGGAGATTTGGACCAGCGGTCTCTCTTGAGCTTGACATATGTCACTTTAGGGAGAATGCTGATGGTACACTACAATGAATTCAGCCATTGCTGGTTGAGAATGGGGCATAGAAGGATCCCAATTCCTATGGGACAGGAATGAAGAAAAGACAGGCATCTCTGAAGGACATTTCTAACCCAAGAGGCTTGTCCCCTTGGATAATTGTGGTCTCACCCAGACCGTCCCTTGGAAGTCCACCTAGGGAACCTGGGCCTGCCCCAGCAGAGCTTTGCTGAGATGATGGCTAATAGTCACTCATTGCCTCACTGCTCCGAAGGGAGCACTGCCCATGCCCTGAGTGCAGCGGAAGAGCCCTACTCGTCAGGTGCTTATACTCCAGTTAGGGAGGCAAGCTGGAGGTGACAAAGCTTTAGTCCAGAGGCCAAGATGGTATTTATTCAGCATTCATGACAGGCTACAGATACGATCCAAGGAGCAGATGTTTGAGAAATACAAACAATACATTACCCAGAAAACACTGCAACTGGGCCCCTCTTCTGAATATAAGTAAAAATCTAAATTTAACTGGTTCCCTCCACCCTTCCCCATCCAGGCTCTGGTTTTGGGAAGAAAAGCAAAGACATGTCCACAGAGCGGGACTTCTTCATGAGGATGAAGTGCACAGTCACCAACAGAGGCCGAACTGTCAACCTCAAGTCTGCCACCTGGAAGGTAGGACAACGTCAGGTGTGGGTTGGAGTCCCAGATGTGCACCCACCCCGTGCTCTCAGCCCCACATCTGACCCTCCATGGCTGGTCTCCAGGTCTTGCACTGCACTGGCCAGGTGAAGGTCTACAACAACTGCCCCCCTCACAGTAGTCTCTGCGGCTACAAGGAGCCCCTGCTCTCCTGCCTCATCATCATGTGTGAACCCATCCAGCACCCATCCCACATGGACATCCCCCTGGACAGCAAGACCTTCCTGAGCCGCCACAGCATGGACATGAAGTTTACCTACTGCGACGACAGGTGGGGGCCCCGGACTGCCTGTGCTGTGGGTAGAAGTGTGTTTTACCTGCGTGCTTGCGCATGTGTGCAGGCGTGCGTGCGTGCACGTGCGTGTGTGTGTGTGTGCATGCGTGTGTGTACATGTGTGTGTATGTGTTTTACCTGCGTGCTTGCGCATGTGTGCAGGCATGCGTGCGTGCACGTGCGTGTGTGCGTGTGCATGCGTGTGCATGCATGTGTGTGTGTGTGTGTGTGTAGTTACGCCCGTGGTAAAAGTATGGGTCTGGAGCATGAATATTGCCTTGCTGGGTGCAAGTTTGTGGGCCTGTGTCGCCAGTTCCATCTGTGCAGCTAAGGGGTTCCTAATATTGTGTATGGTGGTTCCACACTGACACAGCATCACAGTCTGACTGCAAAGCTGTTCTGGTGTGCGACTCTGTGGCCATTCTTGGTCATTGTGATGCGTACGTATTCCTCCACATGTGTATCAGATTCCTGAGGAAATTTCCAGGCCAGTCGGCTTCCCCAGCAGACGAGTGTCAAGAGGTGTCCATCAGCATTCCCAACTCGGAGGCCGGCTAGGAGCTCAGGCTCTGGCCCGGAGCTGCATGGCTCCCGAATGTTCTCTCATGTTGCTGAGCTCTTCCCTCAGTCTTTGCTCCTCCTGTGTCAGCTCCATCCCAGCCACCATCCAGCCTAGTCTCGAAGGCTTCTTGCTGAAGGGGAGCTAATCCAATACGAAGTGTTCAGTGTTAATTGTTATTCTCTAAATGGTTTCTTTATTAAAGTTGTCAAAAGGGCACCTAAGACTGCACATGTAAGCCATGTCAGCTCTAGTTCTTAGCTCAAGGTGAGGCTGAAACAGGTTGAGAGACTTGGGTTATTGAGGGAGGGCCAGCAGGGGCTGTTAAAGCCACTTGCAGCTCCTGACTCCCCCACCACCTCGTCCCTGCCCCCGCTCTGTGCCCTGGTGTTGGGAATGTGGAAAATCAGAAAATGGAAGGAGGAAGATGAGAATAGGTGCCACGAGCAATGACCACCATCATGGAAGGAAGGAAAAGCCAGGACAAGGGACTGGGCCTAGGTAGGCCTGGCTTGGGTGAATCCCACTGTGGCTGGCTGATGAGTGTATCCCCAGACGTGCCCTTCAGGAGATAGATGTCCCAACGTGACCTCAGCTTTCTGCAATATCCAGAGTTGCCATTTCTTTCCAGAGGCACTGTTTTTGTGGTTACTCTTCTCCACTCAACCACTCCCCTCTCCCCTTCTAGGGTTTCTCAGCAAACTCTGAGAACTCAATTCCCGTTGTCTAAAATGGAGATGATCATTGTCAAATGAGATCATGGCTATGAAAGCACTTTGAAAAGTATTAACACCGTAACTGATGTGAAGCTTGTCGTTACTGCTTATATAAACTACTCCCTCTGTCCTTGCCCTCCCCCAGAATAAGCCTCTAAACTCAAGGGGCCAAGATCACTTCTGGAGACACGTAGTGGCTGGGGGCCTGGAAGGAGGAGAGACCACCAGCAAGAAACTGCCTTACCTTCCTAGCCAGCAGGAAGCCACCAGACCCCAGGAAGATAGTTTCTGCTCAGCCTTCCCAGACTCATCCACTGGACATCCAATATCTGGGTTTCTTTGTGGGTGGGACCCTACTTTCCAGGCTGGGCTGAGTTTCTCTCCCCCGATTCTAGACTGACCTGATGTTGGCTGGTACCCTTTCTTAGAATTGGCCATCATTCTAGGCACAATGTAAGAATTTTTCTAAAAGTGTCCTTGGGTCATTCCTGTCCCTCAGTTCTGACCACGATGTGCCAGGACTCAAGGCTCTTGGACGTAATGAGTGGTTATGTAAGTAGAAAGAAGTGCTCTAACCTCATAGGGGGAAAAAATGTCACATATGAAGACTCTCGTCCTGGAACTAACACGGGGAGCATTAATCACAGTTGTTAGTACTGTGAATATGGTGATGATGATGATTAGAGAGAAAAATTGCTCCAAAGGCAGGTACCAAAGAAATCCATGCTACGTGTAAGGTTGTTTATCAGACGCAGTCTTTGTATTCAAATGAACATGCTAAGCAGAAGATAGTTTTGTAACATGCACCCCTCTGTGTAATCTTCCCAGATGACAAGGGAAATCTCACTGCAGAGCCTCCATGTCACTGGCTTTGGGGTTAGCTGTGTTCCCAGTGTGTTAGCCATACAGCCTGGGAACAGCTATAGTGCTATGGACACTGAAAGCTGCATGTAGTCCCTGTGAATGAAATATATCCTTAATGTGGTCCCAGAAGCACTGGAAAGACCCTCCTGTCGTAGAAAATAACTTGTCATCCCTAGATAATAGAAAAGAGGAGGTTACAGTTAAGTTTAGAACTTTGATTCTTGTTAAAGCAAAGGGAAAAAATCCTCTGGAAAGGGTAATTCAGAGTTATCCTTCATTCATTATCTTGTTTTGAGTCAGTTTCAGGTTATTTCCTAAAAGCAACTAACGTTTGGATAAAGGAGAAGGGGAAAACCATAAGAAATTAGGGGCCTAAGCGTGGTTGAAGAGGAAAGGGACACAGAAAGGGAGTGACCTCACACTGACTGCTTAGTTGGGTTCAGGACTGGTGGGGCAGAGTCTATACTGGCTTGAAAAGAACCTGTGATTTAGGTCTTTGCGACTCAGAGTGTGAAAGGTAACATTGCCTGTCAGTTTTGCTGGACACGTTGCAGTTTCAGCAAAATCATGCCTTTCAAGACACCTAGTTACGTGGCCCAAACTCTGAATTCAGTGGTGCTGGAGAGATGTATGCAGAGGCTTTTGAAGACATAGAATGCTGTGCCACACAGAAGTTGTCTTTAACCGATTAGCAGATTAGTTAACAAGGGCACAGACATGGCTTAGACAATTTATAAACTGACTATTTTAAGTCCTTAATCCCTAAGTGTCATTTCTTGATTGTTTTGATGAGGGCTGGGATTTTTTCCTTTTGGTAGCGTGTTTTGTTTTTATTGTTTGTATTTAGATGGGGGAAAGAATCTCAATCTCTCTCTCTCTCTCTCTTCCTAAGTCGCTCTCTCTCTCTATCTCTCTCTCTCTCTCTCTTCCTAATATTCTTCTGATTCTGAGGTCAATGTTTCAAAAACCAATACTTGCATATAGATAATGGTGGGGGATGGTTCTTTCCATTTTAATCAGAGAATTCACTAGATTTGATGACATATGACACACATGAAGGGCTATAATTTCCCACAAAGGGAATTATTTTCCCATAAGGAAAATTAGAATCTGATGAAAATGTAAGGCAATTAGAGTCCACAAAAATCACTTTGGAGGCTGGTACTTTTTCTTAGTTATATTGAGATCACAGACATAATCAAAACAAGGATCATGGAGAAAAAAATGGTAAAACAGACAGAAAGAGGGGGAAAGAAATAAAACGGAAGAGGGAAAAAAGATGACTCTAATCCTGTGTTTAATTCTCAGGTTTCCAAAATCAGTTCAAATTGAACAACCTTTTCTGAAACACCTGAAATTAAATGAAGGATGCAGATGGTTCAAAATGCATTTGTCCTGTTCCTCTTAATAAAGGGTCAGAGGACCATGTTCAGTCCTGTTTGATTATATGAAATATGTTAAATGGTTTTTAAAGTGAAATAAATCATATAACAATTTATATGTCAGTCATATTTGGTATATGGTTGACTGCTCCAGACAGGAAGAGTCGAGTAGCAAGGTTAAAGAAGGAGAATGTCCCAGTTATCAGTGTAATTGATGATCTCATCTCCATTTATACTCTGTTTCCTCAAATACTGAGCAACCAATTAATTTATTGAGTATCTGCTATGTATCTGACCTTGTGCCAGAGACATTTATATCAAAGAAATTAAAAAGATGGTTTCTGATCTCCAGGAGTTTAGAGCTTGAGACATGAGCAACTTAATGAAACCACAGTGAATGGTATATGATAGAGCATTCCATTCACCCAAAAGGAAGACAAAATTGGTTCCCAAGTGGTTTAACTTTAAAATTGGGTGGTTCTTAAATTCGGGTGGAGGTGCCATCTAGTGGAGAAAGAGAATAACTGTGAAGGGAGCCAAGCCATTAAGGAGGGAGGACAAAAATCTGTAATTCACATAATCCCACTGATTTTGTCAGTTTTATGAATCTTCCTATATCTTAGAAATTAATTGTAAAGGCTAATAGCAGTATTACTGGGGGAGGGGAAGGCATCAAAATTGCAGTAAAAATTTCAAATTTACAGAGAGGGTCATATAATATTCACAGATAAAGAGTTTGAGGGCAACCTTGCATTGTCATTGGATTAAGTCAGCATAGGGCATGATGATATCAGAAATTAATAAAGTTAAGATGCCTGCATTTCAAATTCCATGGAACAAATTTATGATTTCTTTTTAAATATACAAACAAGTTGGGAATAGCAAAGATGATAATGGGATAGTTGAGGATCATATAGAGAATGTCAATGTAGAAAATTATAAGGAGCCATGAGTTGTAAAATAGACACACATCAGTACACTTTGAAGACAAGTACTGAAGTCTGAGAACATAGGCTGACTTCAGGCAAATTAGTAGTAAAAGATTATTTCCTTTCGTTGAGATATAAATTGTTTTACTTTACTTTTCTTTAGAGGATAGGTAGCATCTTTAAATTCAAGGTGATCTTTCAGATTAATATGTTACATGTAGTCATTTAGTTTAAGATGTAGTCTATTCTAAACATTTTTGCAGACATGCACATTAGCCTTTCTCTACACACCTTATTCTAGAAGGTATAGTGTGTTTCTTTAAATCCCTGAATTAAAAGAAACAAAGTGCTCTCCTTGTGTCTCCTCCCAATGACAAAGTTCTGAAATCAGCCCTAACAGAGTTTGAGCATATAAATGAGAAATGCTTATATATTATCCTATGTAATCTAGAAACAGTCTACTCAAAATACTCCCTGGAATAGGTAGCTCAACAAATTCTCTTTGGACTTTATTTCAAAGTCTAATAGACCTCACAATTCAGAAGGTATTCATTCCACATGATCTGCTTCTCTCCCGCTACAATTCAAGGCAGATTTCCTCTGTTTCAGGGTAATGCAAGGCAGCTGAGCATTTGGTGGCACTCAGAGCAGGGTCGATCTAGAATTGAGCCAGGGCCACCTTTCTATGCATAAAGTCACATCACACTGATAGGATGGAAACTGATTATCTATTAACTATAAAGCTGGTTCTATAGATTTCACATAATCATGTAATAATTGAGAAAAACACAAGGCTTAAGTACTGATATTTAAAGCAAGCAAAATCTGTATTGAAATATGTTAAAATAGAAGGCATTGAAATCTGAGTTAAAGAGTAGTCTGGATATCAGCAAGGAAATGAAATTTCAAATCTCATAAACACATATAGAAACTAAAATGAGGTGAATCTAGGAGAGGCGTTGCCGGAGGGTGGAAGGAAAGAAAGCAGACTTTAATAGAAGTATGGCTTATTAGCAAACGCAGTCTTCGGAAAACAAATTGGTTTACTTAACCACCTATTTTACAAAGCACTTAAAACTTTCATCCTCTTAAATAGTTGAAATACTCTCACCATCTTGTTTGCGTGATTAATTTACCTAGTCAATCCTTTACTTGCGTGGCAAACAAGGGTGAAAACTGCAGCCAGACCTCGAGTGACTCCAGGCCGTGGTATCTGAAGTCAGGGAGCTTGCTGCAGTATCACACCCATGGACAGGCACTTGTCAGTGCCACTGGGAAGTGGAGCAAGCCATCTTAGGCCTCACTGGATTTCTTCTGCCTCTTGAGATAATGGCACTGACGCTGTAGCCAAGAGAATAATTTTCTTCCTAGCACTGGTCCACAGGTAGTCCATGTTGAAAAGAGCCCCTGAACATTTTTAAGGGTAAAGAACAATTAAAGAGCAATGAATGGCTGTCCTTTTACATTGCGAAGGCATATCTAACTCAGAAATCCAGACCCTGGTGGTCTGACCCACTTAGTTACTTGGGGTAATACTAACTGCAGAATTTAACAACTTTTTCTGCTCTACATTTTGTTTTCTTTTTTGATTCCTTCTTCCTCGACCTCCTGTGGTTGCCTGTGTCTACCTCTCCCTTTCCAACCTCATCCTTGATCTGTTCGGGTTTTTTTCTCACTTTATTATTAAAGAGTGACCTCTATTCTCATTTCTCAAATCTGGTGATTTAAACCCTTTTACATTTCCCTCTTAAAAAAAAAAGAAGAAGAAGAAGAAGAAGAAGAAGAAGAAGAAGAAGAAGAAGAACAGCCCTGCGGAGCTGATTTTTTAAATTTATGGGTGACCCCAAGCTGATTTTTTTCCTAGTGAGTCAGGGGCCCTTAATTAGAAAGAAAGAAAAAAAATAGTTTCCCTGCCGCTGATGAAATTGTGTTATCACAGCCCAGCTGCAGAGGCTTCTCAGAGATCCAGGGAAATCAGCGGAGAAGGCCCTGCTGTGCTGTATGCAGTAGCTAACCCTATAAACAAGCTGGGTTCTTAACCTCCCCGCTGGCGTCTGCGTGCCTACAGATGAAGGCGAATGACCATTAGCTTCAAGTTGGGGTTTCCTGGCTTTGTGAAGTCTGACAACTTAAATGTTCTTCAATTGTGTTTGGGGTATGCGTATTTCCCAGTTTTTATAGTAGTCTGTTTAAAGGAATGAAGAAAGAGACATTAAATATTTATTTTAGTTGACAAGATAAATGAAGGCTGTTACTGGGAAGATAGCTGGCAATTCTGAAATCTAGGTTTGTTTGTCTACTTCCAAAACATGCCTATTGTGTGCCTTTGAATGGATGGTACATTAATTAGATTAATTAGATAATTAGATTAAAAACATTTTATTTTGAGGCTGATTATAATAAACATTTGCTTTGAACGTTTTAAAGATTCTAATCTTAAAAGAAAATTTAATTTTTTTCACAGAGTAGAATCAAATCTTTCCCAGAAAAGCCTCATTTTTGAGAGTCTCTGGAAAATTCTAGACTTGCCTGGGAACAGAAAAGCAGCTTATCTGGCAAACCAGGGAGCCTGTAAATGGCCAGCCCATTGTCACAAGGACCCCCTGGTGCAGTTCTGATTCCCCGGCGGAGCTGGAAAGGCACTAGACCTGACAGAAAAGCTTTTTGGTTGTAGGGAAGGAAGGGCTAGCAGTGTCCTACTCTCTCCTTACTCTCCCCCAAGCTCCATATCGTGTAAGGTGCCATAGGGCACCAGCCCCAGGGTCAGCCTGACAAGGACTATGTCCATCGCTGATGAGTTCAGAGACATCTCTTCTCAGGGCCGAGTAACAGGACAGATCCTTCTAGTCTGAGATGCCAGCTGCCTCTGGCAAGTGAGCTGCAGGAATCTCACCGGAGAGATCTCCACTGGGTTCAGTCAGCTGAGACCTAAGCTCTTCAGCCCTTTTGGGCTGTTTGACAAAGGCTTTAACACCCCCAGTCTCATCTAGGCAGACAATTTGCCTCGTCTCTGTCCACATCAGTACCAGACACACCTTTCAGAATGAAGAAAGGATGAACTGAATATCATGAGGGGTTCTGCTGAGGGCTGCATATATGTGTACCACCATGCACTGAGACAGTTAATCATGTCTATGAGGAAAAAGTAGAACATCGCTGTCCAGATTCTTTAGCAGTGTTGGGATAGGCAGTGATCTGGTTGTACCATAGGTCCTAAGAGACAGTTGATCATGGTCAGCTACTCAGGTGTTTACTGAGCACCCATGTAGGGGAGGCCAAAGGAGAACATGGTCCCTGAGTTCAAGAGTTGACAGCCTAGGATGTGGAGAGGCAAATACATAATTCTTTGTGACATTATGTTCACCTATGAGGACTTCCTGAGGAGACATTGGCAGGGGCTAGAGGAATTGGAGAGGGTGCTGTGAAGAAGGTGAAGCCTTGAGCTGGTCCGCAGTAGTGAGGGTTTAGAGAAGAGGAGAGAAGAGAAGACCTCAAGGTTCTGCAGCAAGAATGAGTTTGTCAGGTGTGGAGAGCTGTGAGGCGAGGAGCCTGCCAGGGCAGACGGTACAAGACGAGCTGCGAATCGGTTGAAAATCAAACTGCTGGGAAGAGAGAGACTAGATTCTGGGGTCATGTGGAAGTTAGGCAGAGTTTATTTACTCTTGATATGGTCAATATTAGGGAAAGCTGGAGATGTTTGAATAAGGGAGTGACACAATGGAAATAATACTTTAGGATGATGTTTACTGATTACGACTCATTCGGAGGAGGAGAGTAGAGACAAGAGACCAAGCCACTGCTTCTGCTTTCCTTCCCTTATTATTAATCTCCAACATAGATAAATGATAGGGCCATAACTAAAAGGCATGCATTCTGAAACAGAGTTTGGAATGATGAGAATAGCATCTCTTTCAACTTGTGACAGGCCAAATTAACAAGACAATGAGCCTATTAGAAAAATGTGTAAGATAACAGAGATTATGAAAAATAATATTTAGATATGACGTGGGAAAGTGGCTAATCATGTGGTTCTTGGGTGGGGCTTGTTTGTTTTAATGACTCCAGTACAGAGAAAAGGGTCCTTGGAATGTTAAATGATTCTTCATGGTTCTTCACATTTGCTTGTTCTCTGCTCACTTCACATCAAAAACAGAAACCTTACAGGGTGAAGCAAGGGACATTTGGGACAGCCAACCCCTGTCATTTCAGAGCTGTCTATTTACCAGAGAGTAATGAGGAAGCACATTTCTACGACTGTGATTTTGTATTTCTCTCGGCACCTCCTGCCCTCCCTCCGTATTTCTACGACTGTGATTTTGTATTTCTCTCGGCACAGAGAGAAATACAAAATCCTTGAAATAGGGAGGGACAAGCAGAAGAACCCATGGAAAGCAGACTCCATGTCCAAGAAGAATCTGAGGTCACTACCAGGCAGGACATGAGGAGAAGCACTCAGAAGAGTGAAGCTTTAAACATAGATGGGGTTCTCCCTGCCCAGAATTCATCCTCACTCTGTGGTTCATACGCAGACAAAGGTCATCTCCACGCTGTTCCCCACTTGGGGCCATGCATTTTCACTTTTCATTTATATCACCCTCTACTAGAATAAGCTTGATCTAAGTAATCAGGAGGCCCAGGTTTTCATTCTTGCTCTGTCCCTAGACACATGCATGGACATCAAGCAAATTGTCTGCTTTCCCTGGATCTCTACTTCCTTATCTGCAAAAACTGAGGGTTGGGGAGGGGGCAGTGAGAGCCCCTTCCAACGGTTGTTGGAGACTAGGCATTTCTGTATAGTAGGGCTGGGGGAAAGGGAGCCCCCTGAGGAAGTGCTCTTTCTTCCTCTCGAACATGACTTCAGGAAGGGCAGGAAGAGTGGAGGTTGGGTAGACCCATAGTTGCATGTTGACCACCATGTTTTTATTGCTTGCATGAATGGTGTGACCAGGAAGCCTGGAGTGTTTTCATCTGAATGTGAGCATTTGATTTACCTTCTGGGTTTAGCTCCTTGAGCCTCCGCCCACAATTATATATTTTCTCTCCCTCACATGCTTTTTTTCTTTTTTAACTTAGAATCACAGAACTGGTTGGTTACCACCCAGAGGAGCTGCTCGGCCGCTCAGCCTACGAGTTTTACCATGCACTAGACTCAGAGAACATGACCAAAAGTCACCAGAACCGTAAGTTCCTGGAGTGCCCTGTGTGGCTCTGAGGACCTGTGGAATTTGAGTGGGGTGTGACTGGTGAGACAAGAGAAGGAAGGCCTGGTCACTTCCTTCACAGAGCCGCTGTCTTGTGCAGCAGAAAGACTCATGCCCTCAGGAATTTAGAGAACCAAAGCTGCCAGCAGCCTATAAGACACCTTCATGTAAGTTAGGAAAAAGACCCCTTCCTCTAGGAGGACACACCCATGCCAAGGCATACAGCTGGGGAGCAGCAGGTGGGCTGAATCACAGTCCCCACATACAACCTCTGCTGAGCCCCTTGTAGAATCAACAGTCTCCACAGCCCTGTGGAACAGCCTTGTAGAGAGTAACATAATACAATATGTAATCGCCTTGGGATATGTGGTGTAGAACAGCGGTCCCCAACCTTTTTGGCACCAGGCACTGGTGCCCCTACGAGAATCTAATGCCTGATGATCTGAGTGGAGCTGAGGCGGTGATGCTAGTGCTGGGGAGTGGCTGCCAATACAGATAAAGCTTTGCTTGCTGGCCCACCACTCACCTTCTGTTGTGTGGCCCAGTTCCTAACAGGCCATGGGTTGATACCTATCTGTGGCCCCAGGGCTGGGGGGCCCTGCTATAGAAGTAAGTACCTCCATTCAGAGAAGAGGAGGGCAGGGAAAGTTCAGGAAAGAAGAAGACAGGGCACTTGAGTTGGACACCTTGAAGGATAGGGGAGAATTGAGTTAAACAGAGGGGGAAATAGTGGGGTACAAACTTAGTAGATGTGTTGAGGTAGGCCATGGTTTTCTAAGAGCTTGCTTGCTGGATCATGAGAATTCAGTTGGAGGAGGCTGCCCAGACAACCCAGTGATGGCATATGGAAACTGTGCTTTGCAGCTTGAAAGAAACCTGAGTTATGAAAGGAGTTATAGAACAGGACTGCACAATAGAACTTACTGCAATGAAAATGTTCTACATCTCTGTAGTCCACATGTGACCTACACAGTACTTAAAATATGTCTAGTACAACTGAGGAGCTAAACTTTTAAAATTTCATTTTAATTAAATCTAAATAGCTACACTCTGCTAGAGGCTACCATAGTGGAGAAGGCCGTTCTAGCGCAGTCACTTGGCCATATTCCCAGTTCAGTCTTCCCATCTGCAGGCAATCCAAGACAGTCTTCTTGAGTCCATACAACCCATCGACATGCAAGAACTCTGGGTTTATAATCCTATACTTGGCCCACTGAGAGACACAGAAATTGATCCCTGCCCTAAGGGATCTCATTTCTGAGGGAAAAGGAGGGCCGTGGGCTCCGTGGGAGCCTGGTGGCTCATACCGTTAGCCACAGTATCTAGCATAGTGTTAAGTATAGTACAGGCACTAAATTAATGATAAACCTAAGGGCAAAAAGCATACTTGAGGAAGAATACTTCAAAATAAGTGCTCACAGTGGTGCAGACAGAGGTGCCGAGAGGATTAAAGAAGGATTAAAAATGGGTGTGTCTGAGAAGATGCCCAGTAGCTCTGCTGGTCTCAGGCTCCCAGGATCAGCTGCAGCTTGCAGTTGCTATGAAGAAAATAAAAGCACATCTATTTGTCCATTGTTCCTAAATCCATTCTTCTATCCTGAGGTTAGGACAGCTGAAGTTCAAGAGCAGCTAACAGGTCAGTAACCCCGTAAGCTACATGCGAGCACTATTAATAGTCTCTAATGGAGTGAGGTTTACTCTTTGCAACCGGTTTCTCTGCCACTTCCTCGTGGTTTTGGGGTTTGATCTGACAGTGCAACAGGGCCCTTTATGATACTTCAGAGAAGTTTCAATGCTGTCTAGCAAATAAATATGTAGTAAACAACCTAGACTCAGCCACATTTAGGGACCCGGGAATGGGAGAACGAGGGGGAGCATGCAAGACTGGGTGTGACCCAGATCCAGCCTGCCCAGCTTTGAAATTGTAGGATATGGTTCCAGCCTTCACTTTGGGGTGTTCCATGCTTTTCTGCTCCCAAAGTCATCATGATACAGGGACTCAGGGAACCTGGGCTCCATCCCAGCCGCCCTACTGATCCCCCAGAGCCAGGCTTTCTGAGTCTTTCCTCCTTAAAATGTAAAATCGGGGAGAAGTCCAGCTTTTCTTCTCAGCCAAGGGTGAAGTCAAAGCAGAGGACAGCAGTAAAATTTTCTGAAAATTTCCAGAGGACAATATTATACTTTATTTTCTGGGGTGGGAAAAAGTAGAGGAAACTACTGTCCAAAGGAAAAGAAACAATGACTTATCTCTAGGATTTGTTCCTTCTTCTTAGAAAAGCTTTGATTCGTAAAAAAGAGCAGAAATAAAAATTTGCCATATCAGTTTTCTGCTGAATCCAGGGAAAATATGATGCTTTTTATTGAATCTCTGAATTTAAACATTAGGCATACTTCAAGGTAATTCGCAGCCCAAAAAGAAATTTCAGACTTCCTTCTTCCCCTGGTGGAACCAAGTAAAGCTGCTCTGAGCTGAGGCCTGTACCCAACCAGCAAGCCCAGATCCAGCAAAGGGAAATCTGCGTGGATTGGAAATTGGGTTAATGCCAGCTAAAACAAAAGCATCTATTCCTCCCTCCCTTCCTCCCTCCCTCTCTTTCTCTTCCCCTCTCCCTCCCCCTCATCGGGTTTGTGCAAATACAGTTGCACCACAGACCCACACTCATGCTGTGGAATAGCTGGAGGCCCAGGTTTGAGCTGGTCCACGTTGACACACCAGCGTCCCGAATTTCCGCACGTATGTGTATCTTAGCCTCTGAACATTTACCATTGAAATTGCTGGGGAAGCTCAGCCCTCAAACCAGATTTAGATAATTGAAAGCCACCATTTCCAAATGGATTAGTAATTTATACATTGTTACTTTCAGAGGGGAGGGGTTGGGGGTTGATTTCTCTTTGTTGTGTGAGGACATTACGTGCTCTTAGGGAAACAAGATTAAAGGCCATAAAAAGCCTATCTACCAAGTAGCAGGCCCCTCACCAAGGCTGGCATTAATGAGCAGATGATTAGAAGGCAGGCGTAATTATATTCTACTGACAGAGCAGGCCCTCGCCTGCAATCGCTAGAAATGCAGTTAAAACCTTTGCTCACTGTATGTTTAATCAAGAAGAATAAGAGCCCTGAATTTTGTCTGCGTTAAGAACCGTCTAAATAAGTTAACTCCAGCCACTTGAGATTGTGCAAGACTCATTTCGCTGCAGCAGGGAGCTTCAGTGGTGCAGGTAAAGTGAAGTCAGGGAGGAGAGAAGTTATTTCTTTGGCCAAAGAGTGTATGATGGTTCAGGACAGGAGCAACAACAAATTGTGTCTTCTCAGTGAATTGTGGCTGAGGGGAATGTGTAAGAGAGAACAGGACGAGCCCAGACTGAGTCACTATTGTCTTGGGTGATGTTAAGCAGGTCACAATCCCTCTGGCCTGAGTTTCCTCGTGTTAAAAGGTGATCTCTATCCTCCCTACAGCACAGAAAAAAAAAAAGAAAGAAAGAAAGAAAACGATTAGGATGATACAACCGCTTCAGAAAATAATTTGGCAGCTTCCTAAAAGTAAACACATACTAAATATATGACCCAGCCATTGTATTCCTTGCTACACCCATGAGAAATGAAAATACATGTCCATGCAAATGTTTGTACACAAATGTTTATAGCAACTTTATTCATAATAACCGAACACTGAAAACAACTCAAACATCCATTGACAGGTGAATGGATAAACCAATTTTGGTGCATCCATGCAGTGGAACAGTACTTGTGCAATGAAAAGGAACAAACCATGAATACCTGCAACAACATGAGGAATCTGGAAAATGGGCTGAGTGCAAAGAAGCCAGACACAAGAGTATAGACTCTTGTATGATTCCACTTACATGCAAATGGAGAAAAAAGCATTTCAATATACAGAGACAGAAAACACGTCAGTGGTTGCCTGGGACCAAGGCTGGGAATGGGAATTGAATGTCAAGAGGCAATAAGGAATTGGGGGAGGAAGTGATGGAAACGTCCCCTACCTTTCATTGTGGTGATAGTTACAAGCATATGTACATTTGTCAAAAAATGGATGTATTTTTTTATTGAAAGTAAATTAAATCTCACTAAAGATGATTTTAAAAAAATGAAAACCAAACCAAAATAAGCTTAGACTAGGAGTCTTTAATTTGAACTATAATCTCGTCTACTGTTTCCTCTAAGGGGGCCTTTCAACAAATCCTTCAATGGTTCTAAGTCTCAGTTTCTTCATATGTAAAGTAGGAATAATAATAGATACCTCATGGTGTTAGGGTGTCCTAAGTGAGGTGATGGTGACACTAAAAATCCCTATTGACGCTTTGTGGGCCAGGCACTGTTCTAATTGCTTTGCAGAAATGAATTCATCTGAAGACGGTTTTGAACACTGCAAAGCACTTTACGCATGTTAAGTTATGGTCTTTCCCGCACCTTGGAGATGCTTGTTACATTTTTGAAGAGGGCAAAGTATACAAAGAAAAACATAAGTGTAAAGGATGACAAGCAGCTTTAGTATGAACCAGGCTGTGTTCCTCAACCACACAGGAGGTGGCCCTCCAGCCTACCAGGAGAATCTGGATATTCTCTCACAGGACCCCTCACAGCATTATCTACAGACACGTCCTGTAAATGTGACAGGGCCTGGACATTATCCATATTAGTAACTTTGGGAAGAGGTGGCTTTTACTATATAGCATTTGTCAGTGACATTCAGTCAACATTCTTGTACCTGATAAGCCAGCCAGGCAGATTTGGCCCTCAGTACAAACAACTGTGATATACTGCATAGCTAATAATGATAATGTCGTTACTATTATTATTATTATTATTATTATCATCATCATCATTATTATTATTATCACGATCCCATTTTGCAGGTGAGGAAGCCAAAACTAAGAGGAATTGTTCTTTCCCCAAAGTCTCTGCCCTAGCAAGATTTCCTAATCCTTCCACCTTGCCTCTTTCCAATTCTCTGTAACTTGGGGATTTCTGAGTTGAGATTCTGAAGAATAAATTCGCAAAGAATAAAAGTAAATAGGCGGTTCAGAAAACTACCAGAAATTTTAATATTGGAAGACTTTCATTTGATGAGTTTATTAATTTACTTTTAATGGGAACAGATAGAACATTCTGGACTTGGGAAGAGGGGAGCCGGGGATAGGGGACCCCTTTTCCAGTGTTTTTTTTTTTTATGCAGTAAAAACAAATATTAACTGAACATTGAAAACAATCTGGAATTGGAAAGAAGTCGTACACAGGCAGCCTAGCTGGGAAGGGGAGGTGCGGATGGACTTACCACAGCTTTTGAGGAGACCGAGTGTAGGCTGCTGGGGACCCAGCCCCTCTTCAGCCCCACATGGGGCTGGGGTCTTGCCTCTGCCTTTACTATGGGTCACAAACCTTCTGTGGCCCTAAGGTGGCAGCCTGACCTATGACCTGGAACAATCAAGGATATTGGTTTTTTTAAAAACTACATTTATTTACAAAGTGAGTTTTGGTTATAGGTCTGCTACAAAAGTCTGCCCTGACTGCTCTAGGTTCTGCTTATAGCTAGCTAAGCCAGTCGGTGAGCCACTTGTCAAGTGACTGGCAATGGGCCACTCCCCTGCTGGACAGCCTTGAGCAAGTCCTTTAACCCCGTGGTCCTCCTTTTCCTATATTTAACAAAAGCTGTGAGATGATCTCCAAGCTCCCTCCAGCTCACTTTC